CAGGAAGCGACCAATCTCTTTAATCTGCCTCTACGTCTGCCCACCTGTCTGCTCTGATGGTGGTAACCAGAGGAGAGGCTTTTACAGTCACACCTAGTAGGGAGAAGAATGCTTTCCATATTCTGGTGATAAACTCTATCCCGAAACTATGTCCTCAAGTAGTCTAAAGTTACTGAACACATGGTTTAAAAGTAATACTGCCATCTCCATGGCCATTGAGATACCTTTGAGTGGGACCAGACAACAGGCCTTGGAGTCCACTACTACGAGTTGAACACAGGTGAAGCTGACGAGGAGGGAAGGTCTCTGATGAAGTCAACTCCTAGATGTGACCAAGGGCAACATGGAACAAACAGCAGGAGGAGTTTGCTGGATGGAAGTTTGTCGAGATGTTTTAGCCATTACACATTCCTGACATCCTAAGACAAACCTTCTGACATTGTTGGTCATCTGGGGCCACCAGAATCATTCCTAGAGGATTAGATTGATTCCTGGGTGACCAGTGCCCAATGAACAATAAGTTGACTCCATAAGTGGGACTCTTTGGGGGGTGGGTACATAAGTCCGCCCAACTGGGCAATCAGGCAGAGCAGGCTCAGTGGTGGCAGCCTTACCGATCTTATTGTCTAGGGCTCACTGGATAGAACTTATTGCAATTTCTAATGAGAGAATGGATTCAGGGTCCTCTAGGGTTTTGTCCACCGTTAAATTCTAGATAGGTCGCCCTTTGTCATTGAGGTGGTGGAACTGCAGGTTCTGAATCTTATTTTAAGTCTTGAGGTATCCTAGAAAAGCATCTTAACAGTATAAATATCTACAGTAGTACCACATATAAGTAGGTTGCACACTGAAAACCCAAATACTTTAATGTAACTACTGTATATCTAAATGGGAGATAAAAGACAGTTTGGCTGTTAATATTGTGAAATATACAGGTAGCATTTGGTATCAAAGTACATCAGTGATCTTGTGTGATCTTCACAAGTCATCAATTGCACATTTTGGTGCTGAAGCATGTGTGAACAAGTCTGGAATTATGGGGCCAAGTAGAGTATTGCAAAATCCATATCAGTTTGTAAACTGCCAGTCACCTTGAAGAAACCATAAACTCTGCAAGCACAAACTAGTAGCGCACAAGTATTGTGAGCACAAGTATTGTGAAATTGTGGCCAAGTGAATTAACAAGGGGATGAAAAGAAACAGTTTGTTTTGAGGACAGTAAATCTCTGCCATGTTTTGCACGTCTAAGAAGGATTTGAAAGCATGTTTTCTCAAGGGTTATGTTGTTGAAAATTCGGGAAGATAGGCTGTTATAAGAGATGTTTAGCAATAGCAGGAAAATTAAAAGAAAATACAGAATGTCTGTATTGGTTGACTATGTCAATATTTGATAAATCTTAGAGCAGTTAATGCCGTCCAACACTTGTTTACACTGGATATCTTATTCAAATTGAGAAATTCTCGGGCTCCAGTAGAAAAAAACAAACTTCTTTAATCGGTCATTTAACTGGATTCTCCTTTGTCAAATGAATCACTAATGTACATATTTTTTATTCATTTTGTCTGATTTCACAATTTATCAGAACAAGATACTGGATTACATAAGAAAATAAATGACTTTTTTTGATCAGATGTTGCTCAATGAAATAAATTTTAAAAAATCACATGGGTCTTCATGTGGTTTTGTAATCTTCACAGCATTTATTCTAAAGCACATTGATTTTTATCATATCTGTTTTTGCATGCATTATAAAGATGAACAATGTGTAGCTTCTTTTATTAAAGGTGCTCTAAGCGATGTCACGCGTTTTTTAGGGCAAAACATTTTTTGTCACATACAGCAAACATCTCCTCACTAACCGCTGGCTGCCTGTCCCCTGAACACACTGTAAAGAAACGCGATCTCTGTAGACAGCCCAGGCTCCACAAACAGCAACAAAAGCAAACTGCAGCGACCCGCTCCCTGAAACATAATAAACTATTCCAGCCAATGACCGACAAGAAGGGTTTGGGGGTGTGGTTTGGGGGGTTAGTGTGCGGATGAGGAGGAGGGAGGGTCTAGCTAGCCTCTGTTTTGTTTGACAATAGTTCGAACGTCAACAAGAAGTGACGTCACCCAGGATCGCTTAGAGAACCTTTAAAGCTTATACTCTTCAAAAATCCAGGTCACATTTCACATCAGAATTCAAATTAAAAAAATATATACTGGTATGTACAGCATAAGTCAAAGTCAAGTTTATTTCAAGAGCACATTTAAAACAACAGATACATCCAAAATCATAAATAAACGACAACAAAAATAAAACAACAACAAGAAGACAAAAACACACAGCTCTCAAACTGAAGTAAAAGCCAAATAATATAAATATGTTTAAAGATTAGATTTAAAAGCGGAGAGTGTTGGGTCCAGCCTCACAGACAATGGTACACTATTCCATAGTTTAGGGGCCGTAACTGAAAGGCCCCTTTCAGCCTTATTACTCTAAGGACAGTCAAGAGCATGCAATCTGCCGACCTATCTCGATGGGACATGTTGTATAAGGTCAGAAAGGTAGGTCGGGGCTAGACCATTTAAGGATTTATAAGCAAACACTAAAATTTTAAAATCAATCCTAAAACGTACTGGAAGCCAGTGAAGGGAGGCCAGGAGAAATGGGGTCACACTTACAAATCCCTTTTAATAGTCTAGCTGCAGCATTCTGCACCAACTGCAGACGTGAGAGAGATGCCTTGCTGACACCAGCATAGAGGGCATTACAATAGTCCAATCGAGAGGAGATGAATAAAACTTTTCTTTTTTTTTACATTTGTCCCATTATATTTATGCCAATAATACACACAATTCCCTAAATTCTCATTATCCTATGCAACATTTTATTTTATTTGTCTCTGCTATTCTCAGTTGTAATCCTATATTTCTATATTCCTACATAACAAATAATACACTGATGTATAATTACTTCATAATATATTATTTTTAGTATGAGAATGTCCTTTTTTGCATTACAGTAATGAGAATTTGGGAGGAAAATTGACTTAATTTTCATGAAAATATACAAAAATACAATACAATGTATTTTTCATGTATAGCATAATTCGTGTGACATAACATTACATGAAATGTTATGAATCATATTAGCAAAATACAATTTATTTGTCATGGATATGAGCTACAACACAAAGCTGTTAATATTAACATGCAATCATGTAACAAAAAACCATGCAATGCTTGACTGTAAGTCGATAATTAAAGCTGCAAATGATGCAGAATAACAATTTCACATCTATGTCATGCCAATGAGTAATATAAGCAATTTTACAATATGAAAAGTATCTCTAAATATTATTTAAAAGCTCAAAGGCATATGTGTTCAACTACAAAATTATGCCTGTAAAAACAGCGTCTTGGCAGATCTCTTCCATTCCTGATATGAATGTGCCAAGGCTTGTTTCCCTTATAAGGGAAAATGAAGGTGATTAATTCTATAGAATACAATGTAATCGCTGATACCACAAGCTTTTTATAAAGCACCACTCTAATTTGAATTAACAGCTGATCAGCTATTAATCCTTTATGTCATACTTTCGGTGTAAACCCTGTCTGAGTAGCAATTCAGCTATTTACGAGACAGATAGCAGTCGAGTCCGTCAAATCTATCAGGCTTTTGTAAAGCTACAAAAACATGAACTTTGTTACATAAGGCCAAAACAGCCAGTAACCAGTTTATTGCAAACATTTACTGTGTGACACTCAGCCTAAAGCTGTGCCTATAAAACAACATTCTCAAACATTCAACCATTCAGTGATACAAAAATGTATCAAATGTTTGCCAAACCACTCAGTATTGGCCACGTTTCCAGATTCAAATTGGCAAAATAACCACTTATGTTTCGATTGCAAAACAATGTTTCAGTACAAAGTACAAACATAAACGTCCTCCATTAGAATTACATGTATATGATGAATCCAGTTGTGCATACTAATTGTTCTGCTTATACGTGTGTGAAAAGTTGTTAAATGTAAAGCACTTATTAACATAAGTCAATGAGGCCTAAAAGTCTGAGACCTCTTTGAAAGGAGTATATTGTTGTTAAACAAGTGGCATAAAACATGAACAAGAAATATAAAAAAAAAATTAAAGAATGTTAAACTGAAGCATTTTCACTATAGTCTCAAACCGTTGGACCCCATAGATTTTATAAAATAGAATAAAAAAATAAAAAAAACTCTGCACTACAACTGATTCATTCTGATTAATTTGAGTATATTCCATTATAATGATTCAATCCCGTTTTTAAACTATTCAATAAAAGATTCGTCATTCGTTTTGAGAATCGAGCTATGCTGCTTGCACTGTGTTATTTTTGTGCTAAACAAACCCAGCTCATAACAGTCATTCGTTTGAAGAATCAGGCAACTTTTGTCGCGCTGTATATTTTTGATTCACTAGAAATGGTTCGTAAGAGTCATTCGTTTCATCAAACAGGCTACACCAATCGCACTGTATGATTTTGATTCGCAAAAACTTTAAAGAACCGACTCTTAAAGGGACAATGTGTACTTTTTCATGTATTTTATTATTTAAAATCAATATTTTTATTCATAAATAGTGTCCTCAATGGTGTACAAATACCTCTGCCAATTATTTGACTTATCGTAAACGAAGAATTTATTATCTTTAAATACATGGGAGGGGTAGGTCCACGGAGGCTTCCATGTAGTTCCGCCATCTTGAAAAACTATAATAGCAGAGAGGGACAAAAAGTACCAGGCCAACGCGTTTCCACAGCGCGTTTTCGTTCAGAGCCAGCGTCACGTGACTGAAGAGTACTTCGTTTTGGGAATCGATCTACGCTGGTCACGCTCCATGTTATTGATCCACTAAAAAGAATTTACTCATTTGTTTGCAAAACATTGAATCTTTCACGAATCATTAAATCGTCACAGATTTAGCAGCAGGTGAGTAGCAAAACACTGATAAAGGGAACCTTCTAACTTGGTATGTTACGAAAATATGAATAAAAGTATAAGCTTAATCTTGGGATCAATGCTGCGTTGCTAGGTTTGTGATGAATTTCATACATGTAACTGTATTACTTCCTGAAACATGGCATCAGACGTATTCTCCACACCTGGACCATTCAAATATGATTTCAATTGTCTTCATGCGACAGTACAAACTGCAGAGGCATTGTGCTTAGCAGTTGCGCTGTTGGCCCAGTATTTCTTGGTGCCAAAATCCTCCTGGTACAGGGCGGAATATCCCACCGCCTCCACGGATCTCCTCTTCTGGATGCGGTGTAGCAGGATACGGTAAGTTCCTGTTATTGGGCTGCGACAGTCAGTGCAGGTGTTATTCTGCAGATGTGTGGCACTGATACCCAGCTCACTCAGGGCTGACTTTACTTCCCGTTCCTCCACGCACAGGCTCTTCGCAGGGTCAGCTAGGGAATTGGGCGTCATGCTGAAAGCGGGATAGGGTTTGGGGTATTCGATGCCCTTCATCCAGGAGCATATCATCAGCTGTGACACCGTGGTGCGGTCCACTGGTACGGGTCTCAGCATGCCTTTGATAGCCAGTTGGCAGGGGTCAGGGACGTATGGTGGGATGCTGTACGCCCCCTGCAGGACGCAGCGTTTCAGTCGGCCTAAGTTGTCGGCGTAGAAAGGCATGGTGGCGGTCACCATGAAGTAGAGCAGGACACCCAGCGCCCAGATGTCCACATAACGGCCCACGTAGCTTTTGTCTCTGAAGAGCTCGGGCGCCGCATACGGCGGAGAGCCGCAAAACGTGGTCAGAGTTTCCGGCGGCTCACTGACGGTGCTGAAGCCGAAGTCGCCCACTTTGATGCAGTAGCATGTGGTGTAAAAAATGTTTTCTGCTTTCAGGTCGCGATGGATAATGTTGTTTTCATGCTGAAAAATGAAGGAATACATAGATCCGTTATACTGAGTCACACCAAATTCAAATAAAAAAGTTGATATAAATGATAAATGTTATAAATAAAATGAAACTAACAAACTACTAAATTACCACTGACAAAAAATATATTATCTCTCAACCAATTCACATAATTCACAGCGAATATCGCTGGTCAGTATTAATTAATAACATTGGTCACAAGGGGTTTCGATCTGTCAGTAGAAATTCAGTTATATTTTTCTGTATACATACATTTTAAGTTTTAATATATATTTGAAAATGTTTTTTTTATTCCTGTGATGGCAAAGCTGAATTTTCAGCATCATCATTACTCCAGTCCTCAGTGTCGCATGAACCTTCAGAAATCTTTCTTATTTTTACCGAGATCAAGAAACAAGAAACATTTCTTATAATCAGTGTTTAAAACGGTTGTGCTGCTTAATATTTTTGAGGAAACTTTTTTTTTTTTAGGATTCTTTGACGAATAGATATTTCACAAGAACAGCATTTATTTGAAAAGCATTGTAAATGTCTTTACTGTCGATATAATGCATAAAATCATTTTCAAAATAAATCTTACTGACCCCATACTTTTGAACGGTTGTGTATTTTTAGTTAAATTTCAGTTAAAAATAAAGTAACAATTCAACAAAAAAATAAAACTCTGACCAATAATATTGGAATTAAATAAATTTCACCAAAATAATATAAATATTTTTAAATAAAAATAGCATTTTTTTTCCCATACTATGGAAGTCAATGGGTCCCATCAATGGGTCAATGGGTTTGGTTAACCATATTCTTCAAAATATCTTCTTTTGTGTTCAGCAGAAGAAAGAAATTCATACAGGTTTGAAACAAACCTGGTGAACAACTTTTTTTCTTCTGTGAACTATCCCTTTAAGATTAGAGTGTTGATACAATTCCTAACTCTAAGTATGAGCAATATAAAGAGTGATTCTTGCTGTTGTCAGGTGGTCAGATGAGGACACAGTCCTGCTGCTCTCACCATGTATTTGATGGCTGAGACGATCTGGGCAAATATGAGCTTGCTTTCCAGGTCTGACAGGCGCCCTCTGGTGGAGATCCGTGAGAACAGGTCTCCTCCACTGCCATACTCCATAGCGATGTACAAATGCTTACTGGTCTCAAGCACCTCGTACAGACGCACAATGTTTGGATGGCTGAGTTTTTCCATACAGATGATCTCTGAGGCAAATACATTCTGTGACTTCTTGTCGAGACGGGCCTTGTTTAGAATCTTGACTGCTACACGCTCTGTGTGTGAGAAAGAGAGATTTGTGTTAAATCAAAGTGAGTTATATTTTGGAAAATCCATGTTATACAAACTTAGTGGGGGTGCAAGTAAAATATTCAAGTAACCTTGCAAGTAATCTTAACCCTATAAAGCCTATACCGTATCATATTTAATGCGCACATTTCTAAGGCCCCTAAATTCAAAACGACTCTGAGAAACCTGTTGTAGACAATCTCCTCTGTACAGTACATGCCTTTTGTCGTCTGATTGATATTTCACTAGTTCACACTTACAAATAAGTTAGATAGAATAAATGGTATGCATATTTGGCGTGCTGTCCGGGGAGAGGGCTCCGGGCTCGAATATTTGGCCCGAACCCAAAGTACTCCCCCCGTATTGCTGGTTTAAGTAGTAACCAGGTGAGTGTGAGGAGACGGGGTGGTGGAGGGATGCTGAAAAACTGTCGAAGAACATTGGTGAGTCAAATGTGTGTATATATATAGGTCTCCAACTCGAGCTGATTGGATAGACATGTTGATTACTGATGGTCGACAGCTGGTTGGAATGATGTGATAATTGGATCAATTATTTGAACGTGCTCCTCCCGAACTTTGTTAATAAAACATCATTTCACTAGTTCACACTTACAAATAAGTTAGATAGAATAAATGGTATGCATATTTGGCGTGCTGTCCGGGGAGAGGGCTCCGGGCTCGGATATTTGGCCCGAACCCAAAGTACTCCCCCAAAAGTTGCAATAAATGTGGGACAGCCGCCAGAATGATGTTGATGACCCCCCAAAAACTTGCAGAGTGTAAGCTTATGGTGCCAATCGTAGGGAGGGAATTTTGTCGCTGGATGGGGAGGTCTTCTTGCATCGTCGGAAGGGAGTTGATTGTCGTGGCATCGGATGGGTGGCCTCGCTGATGACGAATTGGATGGAGAATTGAATAGTCGTGGGGACGGAGGAGGAAACACTGCTGCGGCAGTGAAGGCGAGTTGGATGGAGAAATGGAGCTCCTGAGGGAGCGGAGTAGATGACACTGCTGCGGCAGTGGACAAAACTTGCTTTCGATTTGCTTTCCAACAATCCTTTGGACAGAGAACTGAGCTCCTGCGGGAGCGGAAGAGAATGCTGCTGCGGCAGTGGAGCAAGTTTGGACGGAGAAACGGAGCTCCTGCGGGAGCGGAGTAGATGTCACTGCTGCGGCAGTGGACCAAACTTGCTTTCCGACTATCCTTTGGACAGAGATCTGAGCTCCTGCGGGAGTGGAAGAGAATGCTGCTGCGGCAGTGGAGCAAGTTTGGACGGAGAAACGGAGCTCCTGCGGGAGCGGAGTAGATGACACTGCTGCGCCAGTGGACCAAACTTGCTTTCGATTTGCTTTCCGACTATCCTTTGGACAGAGATCTGAAGCTCCTGCGGGAACGGAAGAGAATGCTGCTGCGGCAGTGGAGCAAGTTTGGACGGAGAAACGGAGCTCCTGCGGGAGCGAAGTAGATGACACTGCTGCGGCAGTGGACCAAACTTGTTTCCTGAACTCAACTGTCCAAAGTAAGTTGGACTAAGAACTGGGCTCCTGCGGGAGCAGAAAAGATAACGCTGCTGTGGCAATGGTGCAAGTTTGGACGGAGTAACGGAGCTCCTGCGGGAGCGGAGTAGATGACACTGTTGCGACAGTTGAAAACTTGCTTCCGAGTTGCTTCCAAGTATCCTATGGTGAGGTGAATGGAGAATTGAGCACCTGCTGGAGCAGAAGAGATAATGGTTCCGCGGGAATGGAGCGAGTTGGAGTAAGAAACAGAACTCCTGCGGGAGTGGAGATGACGACACTGCTGCGGCAGTGGGTCAAACTTGTTTTCTGAATTCAACTGTCCAAAAGGTAAGTTGGACATGGAACTGGGCTCCTTCGGGAGCAGAAAAGATAATGCTGCTGCGGCGGAGGATCAAGTTTGGATGGAAAAAATGGAACTCCTGCGGGAGCGGAGTAGATTATGCTGTAGTGGAAAGACTTGGTTCTGACTTTCTTTCAAATTATCCAATGAGCCATTTGGCTGGAGAACGAGCTCCTGATGAAAAGGAAGAGATGATACTGTTGCGGTGTTGGAACCAAACTTGCCGCAGTAGTTGTAGATGTGCAGGTAATGATAACGTTGTCTTAACGTTGTCATCCCCGGGAGTTAAAATTATGGCAGACTTGATCACGAGATTTGGAGGTGGATTTAAAATCTTTGGATGGTGAGTCGAAAAGTACTGGTCGTGGGATGTAACTGGTAGATTTTCCCTGGGATGCAACTGGGCAATGGGGGGATGAAGGGTTAACCGGAGGACAGTTAATGGTGGAGTGAGCGAGTGATCTGTATACTGCACAAGAGATGTTGCGGAAAGTAACTGAAAAAATCGCCTACTTCTATTTGGCGATCTGAAGCGGATTGAGGAAGTAAAGATAGCAGGGAAGATAAATCAATGTCTGCACCTGAGAGGATCTGTGTTCTGATGTTGTTGGCTACTGGGGTTGGTTCCAAGGCTGTAGCGTTTGGAGGGATGGGCATCGCTGTTGCGTCCATGCTCACTGGACGGGAGAGAGTAGAGATAAGTACACAGTACGTCAGCTGGGAGACAAATGCTCACTGGACGGGAGAGAGTAGAGAAAAGTACACAGTACGTCCGCTGGGAGATCCATGCTCGCTGGACGGAAAAGAAACGTAAGTACTCTACCGGAAAAGTTCTCGCTACGTCCGCTGAAGCTGCTGAAGTTGCTGCCCCGATACGGAAGGAGTGACTTGAGAAATTCTTTGCTGGAATTCCTGACTGATGTAGAACGGATTTGAGGTGTTTCTGGAACCAAAAGCGTGTCACGGGTTTATTGGATTCGTCTATGAACAGGGGTTCCAGAGGACATTTAGCCAGAGAACTTCTCCGTTGCAGATATGCCAGAATGGACTGGTATGGTTGGATTGGTGATGAGAGGTTAAAAATGTAGATGAAATGACCTTTTTGGTTTGGTCGGTCTTACTTGCTTAATCAAAAATAAGACTGTTTCACCATCTAGTACTGACTGAGTCTGAGATGGTGGGGTGGATTTTTGGGTCGAATTTGGAAGTGATGGCGAGTTCCGAGCATCTAAGAAAACCAAAGGCTAGGATAAACATAGCGTAGAGTGTGCGGGCAGTATTGAGGGGCTGGTAGCCTGTGCGGAGGACATGAATACATTTGGTGAGAATGTCTAGCGTTATGGGTTGTCTGGCGTCGGGACGGGTGGGCTGGGATCTTTGAATCCCTTTGATCAGGAGGGAGGTTTGTGAATTGTTTATCTCAGAGGAGGGAGCGCCATACATCAATTTATGGAAAAACTGAATGCCGCTCAAGTAACCTTGATGGACCCGACTTGTAGGCCCTTAACGCTATTAAGCTAGGAAATAAATGAGGTGATCGAAAGAAGAGAAAAATCGGGGAACGGCATGTTATAAGAGACATGGAATGCTTTAAAACATCTCCAAGCGGTCAGGTAGGATTGGAGGGTCCTGGGAGAAACTGCTTGGAGGATGGTGTTGAGTGATGCGTCGAGGAGGGGTTTTAACGGGTGGGTTATGGGAATATCAGTTCTAAATAGCGGGGAATTGGAGTTGGGAATTGGTCCATCTCTGGAGCCAGTGTCCTGGATTTCTGAGAGGATCTGAGCGCGGATGCTTTGAGACGCTGGTGGTGGTTCCATGGCGACGGCGTTGGACGGAACGAGCATCGGTGTTGCTGTGAAGAGAGAATGTTGTGGTTTAGTTTGAATGAGAGAGCTGGGAAGGGTATAAGCCATGGCTGTGAATGTCGGCGGCAGCCTCACACTTAGATTACCATGTGTGGCTTGGAAAGGGAAATTAGTTGGAGGATAGAAAAGGAAAGGAAGGATGATAGAATGAAGTGTGCGCTTGTGCTGCAAGCCGAAGCGGGCTCACGCTTATTTGAGCTACTGGAGCTGCAGGCCACGTGAAGTGGGCGGGGTTATAACCTGTTGGATAAAACTGTTGAAATGGTTGGGCCTGTGCTGCTAGCAGCGATAGCCTCGCGCTAGTGTCTGCAACGGGAGCTGGAAGCAACTGAAAAGAAAAAGGGTTATGAACAGCGGGAGTATAAAACTGAGAGCTGTGGGGAGGCCGCTGGGTCCAGCTGCAAGCGGCGCTGTGGCCGTAGAAGCCGCGGTGAAGGGCTGGGCCTCGTCAAAAGGTGGGAGTGGATCTGCCGCGGCAAAATCTGGGGCGCGGCCCAGGCTCGCTGAAGGCCTGTTGCTGCAGCTCGATGGGCGAAGACTGGCCTTGACATCTTGGCATGCGCAGGGCTGTTCTGGCAGGTGTGCGGCCGCGTGAAGAAGCCTGGGGCTCAGGTGCGATGTCTGGCGTTGGAGGAATAGTCCTGGGGCCGGTGTTCTGATGATTCGGATTCATGCTACCCATCAAGATGTGCTACTTACTGGTTATGCGCATGTGCAGACTCAGTTTTCTTCTGCGTTACCACGACCATAAATCTATGCATCCTTGCTGTGGAGACTTGTAGAAAAGGTGTACTTTGACAGGTCAAAGATGACTATTTTATTATAATTTTTCATACCGTTTAAAAATAAAAACAGTACAGTATACAGTACTCATACCTTTAAAATTTTACTATAATTGTATTTCATTTAATATACAATAATGTCATTTTTACTTGTTATCAAATGTGATAATTGCTAGTTCATTTAAAATATCAAATATGCTCCCCCGTACACTTACCCTGTTTTAAATGAAAAAACGAAGTCATAATATTGTGAGATTTACACCATTATGGAAACAATAGAGAATGAATCGACATTTTCTGTGATCGATTCGCGCTTGGGTAGCATTTCCGACAAGGCAGCACAAATCGTCAGAACACCGGCGAAAAAGCAACGGCGGATCCCTGGGGATGTTTGTTTCCTCGTCAGATGAAGAACTTTGGTGTGACATGGTAGCAAAACGGCGAGCCAAGATGCTGAAAAACTGTCGAAGAACA